AAGATCGCGGCCGACCCCTCCCACCCCGGACATAAACTGTTTGTGCCCCTTCCATCTGGCAGGAGGCTGAGGTCCATCAGGACTACGACCTCCCGCCACACGAACAGTTTCTTCCCGTCGGCAGTCGGGCTCATCAACAGAGCCCGGTCCCCCACTGCCTGACTATAACACTCCACCGGTCACTCCCCCTCACACTGCACATGCCACTTTAACTGCAATTCATCACTTTGTCACTTGTCACTTTGTCTCTTGTCTGTTACTTGTTTGTTAGTGCACTTTATGCTTAATACTTTTCTTTTTAACTTTTTAATATTTAAAATTAGTTTAACTTTATTCCCTTGTTTTTTTACTAACCCATAGCCTTAGCCTTATTCTTACTAACCCATTGCATTAGCATTTCATTCCACTTTATTTTATTACCTGTGCACTGTTGTCTGGTCTGTCTACTGTCGCGCACTAACCGCCAAGACAAATTCCTTGTATGTTTGACATATTTTGGCCAATAAATGTTTCCTGATTCCTGATGACAAAGTGAAAACTGTTTGAAAATTTTTGCAAATTTGTTAAAAATAAAGAATGAAAACATAACATGTACATAGGTATTCACAGCCTTTGCCATGACACTCAAAATGTAGCGCTGGTGCATCCTGTTTCCACTGATCATCCTTGAGATGTTTCTTCAACTTGATTGGAGTCCGCCTGTGCTAAATTCAGTTGATTGGACATGATTGAGAAAGGCACACACCTGTCTATATAAGGTATCACAGTTGCCAGTGCATATCAGAGCATAAACCAAGCCATGAAGTCCAAGGAATTATCTGTAGACCTCCAAGGCAGAATTCAATTGAGGCACAGATCTGGCGAAGGGTACAGAAAGATTTCTGCAGCATTGAAAGTCCCAATGAGCACAGTGGCCTCCATCATCTGGAAATGGAAGACGTTTGGAACCACCAGGACTCTTCCTAGAGTTGGTTGCCCAGCCAGACTGAGCGATCGGGGGAGAAGGGCCTTAGTCAGGGAGGTGACCAGGAACCCAATGGTCACTCTGACAAAGCTCGAGCGTTGTTCTATGAAGAGAGGAGAACCTTCCAGAAGGACAAACATCTCTGCAGCACTCCACAAATCAGGCCGGTTTGGTAGAGTGGCCGGACAGAAGCCACTCCTCAGTGAAAAGCACATGACAGCCCGCCTGAAAGACTCTCAGACCATGAGAAACAAAATTCTCTGGTCTGATGAAACAAAGATTGAACTCTTTGGCCTGACTGCCAAGCGTCATGTCTGGAGGAAACCAGGTACTGCTCCTCACCTGGCCAATACCATCCCTACAGTGAAGCAAGGTGGTGGCAGCATCATGCTGTGGGGATGTTTTTCAGCGGGAGGAACTGGGAGACTCGTCAGGATTGAGGGAAAGATGAATGCATGCTCCAAAGCGCTCTGGACCTCAGACTGGGGCAACGGTTCCTCTTCCAACAGGACAACGACCTGAAGCACACAGCCAAGATAACAAAGGAGTGGCTTTGGGACAACTCTGTGAATGTCCTTGAGTTGCCCAGCCAGAGCCCTGACTTGAACCCGATTGAACATCTCTGGAGAGATCTGAAAATGGCTGTGCACCGACGCTCCCCATCCAACCTGATGGAACTTGAGAAATTCTGCAAAGGAGAATGGGAGAAACTGCCCAGAAATAGGTGTGCCACGCTTGTGGAATCATACCCGAGACGACGTGAGGCTGTAATTGCTGCCAAAGGTGCTTCAACAAAGTATCGAGCAAAGGCTGTGAATACTTATGTACATGTTGTGTTTTCGTTCTTTAGTTTTAACAGATTTGCAAAAATTTGCAAAAAAACAATATTTTTGGAGGAAAATAATGAATTTAATCCATTTTGGAATAAGGCTGCACGGATGCACGGTGTCTGCCAAGCCATGCCAAGGTAAGAGAATTGAACCAGATACCATAATGTTCTGATTCAGCCTTTAATCAAGGAAATTACGTTCACTTTGATATTAACTTGGTTTATGCCAATTAACTTTTAAAAAAGAACAGTAAAAAAGTATGGATGTTTTGTTACGTTCAATCAATACATGTTGTAGCTGAATGTCAGAGTTGGCCTTTCGCATTAATTCATCGATGACACTTCTACACCTCTGAACTTCACACAGCCACAATGTATTAAAACAAAAGGTCATAAGATGCACTCTGGGACTTTGCCATCTATGGGGAGAGATCCCGAAAGACACTTTGGCTTTGTAGTCCCGTTATCACGTCTGAGCTGAGCGTTGTTGCTCATGAGTAATTGCCGTCATATTACTGATGTGATATTACTAGATAATCAGTTCCATGACTGAAGTCCTGTTAGTCTGTTACAATTATTTGAAAAGCTGGTTTGTTATATCGTTTGTAACTGATGAATCCTCCATGAACCAAAACCTTAGTCACGATGTTCTCCAAACCATTCTTTTCACCTTATGCTTCTTTATCAGAAACATTCTAAAGTTTCATAGTTATGCAGATGATACTCAATTATACGTATTGTTAGTTTGCTAAACTTCAAGCATGTGAAGGAAATAAAACAAATGACTGAGTAAACGGACATTATTCTACACCCAGAGCACCTCCGTAGTGAACGATTTATCAATTTTATTACTGTCGGACTCCTTCCGATGCATAAGGCTGTACACTAACGGGTATGAAGTGTACTAACAACAAACTAAGCAAATAGGTAAGATCTTTCATATATTACCTAACAAGAAAAGGTTACACAAGTCCACAGTCACAGAGAGCCAAAGGGCGGATGTGTGTTATAATGGGAGACGTGTTGTGTGGAGTCAAGTGTTGAAAAGCTTAAACCGTCCTCATGCTGCTGGTTGAACTCTTATTTTCTGTTAGGCTTTGACCTAAAAGAAAAAAATATTCCGGTTGGAATAAGACTTGAAACCAGAGATTGAGATCGATTGGTCTCGATGCTGAGTCATTTCCTCAGACTTCCACCCGACCACACTTTTCTGCAAAGGGAGTCGCCCCCTGATGGTCAATGGAAAGAATGCAGGTTTAAGACAAATCGTAAACGCACAACCACGTAGCAACAGAAATAACACGGTGTTGTGTAAATAAAAGAAATAGCTTAAGATAATTTAATAGAAGCACAAGTTATAGAACATGGAGGGGGGGCATCGTCTCCAGTCAGAACCAAAAGTCGCCTCCTGAATGGGGAAAAATGGTCTGAAGACGCTGAGGTTTCACCACATCATCCCATCAGATATCTGTGGAGCACCCTTCACATATTCACCTTCAAGTGGTTTATAAAAGTCTGCATTGTTTCAGAATTTGATGCATACATCCTCAAAACCAATGTTTTCTTAATAATCTTGCATGTTATAACTCAATGCTTTCATAATAGACCAATAGGTATGTCCTTATATAATCAGTTCATTTATACAATAACCTTGTATTATGAATGTGCATACAAAGAATCAATACAAATGTAAGGTGTAATATTCTACACTAGTGTAGAGTATCTCCAAGATGAGCAGTTTCATTAAAATGTTACTATTTTTAAACTAATTTCAGACGTGGGTTCTTCTTCTCGGCGGCACCAATGAGCTGCTGTACTTCACGGACTGAATGAAGAAATCAGAAGCTCAGGCCTCCAAACTACCGTCTAAAAGCTGGAGAATGAACCGCCAGGCTCCGCCCCCAACGGACAGCGGCGTCACACCAGGAGGACAAAGAGAACCATGTTCAAAAGGAAACGTTTAGGACGCATGTGTGCGCACATACCAATATGGCTGGAGCTTTTATTGCACAAAAGATGACAGTTGAAGTTCCGTTACAAACAAATCAAAGCTTTGTAAACAGTGAAGCAGCTCTGAGCCCCCGTCGCCACACGCGTGTTCACCGGCGCTCAGCAAGTAAGTGTGTCCACGAGAGACAACCAGTGAGAGTGCCTACAAGAAGCAGAGGGAGGCTGGGACACGGGAGGGCGGGGACACGCTGGGACACAGGAAGGGTTTAATGATTTTAAAAAACCCATTAAAAACGTTTGGCTTTGAACTCAAATGAGAAGGACACCCTTTAGTTTGCTCTCTTTCACTCAGGACGAACGCAAAGCTTTGATCGCGGTCTCGGGTCGTGGACGCGGCACTCGGATCACTTTAAGTCTCACTGTCCTCCATGTGAGCTAGACAAGTGGATATGTTGACTCTTGAGTCCCGGGACGGTCCTTGTGGCGCGTCCCCCTTCCAGCGGAGCAGTTCAGGGGGTCCACAGAGCGCCCCCCCCACTCCATGTACGTGATGGGGACAGCGCTTGTCATTGGACAGAAAACAGACAGAAATGGCACATTGCTTGTTGTTCTCTATTCTACATGTAAATAGGATTTAGGATTTTTTTGTTGGCGGTGAGGCAGAAGGAAGAAGCCGGAGACGCAGCACGAGTCTTTTCCAGGAGATGAGGCGGCGTCTCTATGGCGTCTGTGCCATGCCGCGACTAGACTTGATCTTCTCCAGTCTTTTAGAGAGGTGACTGTTGTTGGACTCGAGTTCATCGACCTTGTCCAGTGCCGTTCGCAGCTGTTGGATCACACAAGAGGCGGGGGGTTAAATTAGAACAGAGCCTGCTCAAAGGTCCTGCTCGTCTTTCTGTCGTTACGGTGAAAGTAAACTCTACCTCTCTCTGTAGTTTCCGTTTCTCCGCCTTCAGCTCGTCCTCCACCTTCTCTGCATTCTCTGCTGCAGACTTGTAGCGCAGCACCTGACCCTCGAGTCGGGTCACCTGGAAGCCCCCAACAATACATAAACAACCACTTCTCAGGCGACAATAGTCGCAATGAGTCAGGATTGTTCTGTCTTACATTTTGTTCCAAGGCGGTCACTTCCTGCTCGGTCTTCACAAGCTTGAACTTAAAGTCACTTATTTGCCTGCTCGAGTCTCCTGGAAAGATTTAGCAAAAGCAAATACGGTAGAGGATTTAATAGCCAAGAGCTATAGACACATGAGTATACATGTACTGTATAGGTTTATATGCAATAGTTCTCATCTGTTCACTCACTCTGCAGTTCTATCAAGTTCGGATCGTTGCCGTTCTCCAGAATCTCTCCGTCCGGGCTCACACTGCTGTCGGTGCCGTTCCGTTGTGTCTTCAGATCCAGCTGGGACTTCAGCTTCTTCACCTGCAGGAGGAGTCATTAACGCATCAGCTCAATGACCAAAACCCGGCTGCTGCTGACGCCACATCTCTTCATAAAGCCCTCATACTGCAGGTATCACAACTTGTGCACTTGGACTATTTTCAGAGGACTGATACACACCTGATGCTATAGTGAGTATTTAGGCCGGAACTCTAAATAAACTACAGTGTGCTCATGTCCATGGTGGTCAAGGAACAGGACTCATGGGTTTCATTTAAATAGAAATATTTGATATTCCAAATGTTATAAAAAGTATTTAGTTTTCTTTGCTTTTTGAACAAGCTACGATTTGGAAAACAAATCAAGGACACACCTGCTCGATCATTTTTTCCCGCTCGTCCACCAGCTTCCTCAGGCGAATCTCTGAGAGACAAAACACACTTTAGAGATCACGCACAGATTATTGATGCAAATGGAGCATTGTGCGTCACAAAAACCTCTCAGACAACGATCACCACTGTTGCCATCCGTCTTTGAATATAAAGTAGTTCACATACCAGGAGTGGGAGGAGCCAAGGAGAGGTGGGAGTGCTGGGGGGAGGTTGATGCATGCAACAGCGCAGGCTTCCATGGGGGAGGGACGGAGTGGAGTGGGTGTGGCGAGGGGGGGTTGTGGGGGGGGGTTGGTTAGCATGCACAAATTGTGGAGAAGCGGGTCAATGCAAGAGCACATTCCCACTACGTTACAAGACACAACAACGCATGAGACATTATGCACTCTGCTCATTTCCAAACAAAAAATGCATTTGGATCAACTCGTCAAGGTGGTAACAGCAGGCGGTTTATTGGCATTTTGGCAACAAAATAAAATGCACGTATCAAACATGTCCCATTATTGTCCATGGAAATGGATCTCAAACAGCAGTTGTATCACTCCCTGAGAACAGATCAGGGTCTCCAAGCACTCAAACTAGAATTACAGCTGCAACATGTAAAAGCTTGTTTACTTATAAATGAAGAATTAACATACGTTATTTTAATTATACACCCGTGGAATGAATAAGTCAAGTTATTGCATGAAAAAGTGACGCGATGTTGTCTATCCGAGACGCATAACCAGCAGCAGCGTGATAAATGTGCAATAATAACAATTTATGTCACATGACGTAGCAGGGGGAGTATTGTCCAGTAGATCCACCATCACCGTGGGCACACAGGTTACGCTCTGGGGACAAATGTCCTTTAGACGGCCAACATGCACTCAAATGGAATGATTTACAAACACATTCATTTTGGAAAGGTTATATTAAAGGGCCAAGCGAAGACGGATGAAGTGATTATATCTCTACTACAAACCCTCTCTACACTAAGACATCTTGCAGTCCTCTTTGCCCTTGCCCTTGCCTCTCTTGTTGTTCCTCTTCACATCTTTCCCTGCCTGCTGGGGCTCCTTACTGCTGCCCCCCTCTTCTGCCCTACGAGGGAGATCTTCATGCTTAGCGGCGTCGAGTCCTTCCTCTACGGGCAGAGGCGCCACCTGGTCGATGTCCTCTGCAACAACACACACTTCTCCTTCCTCGGGAATGTGCCCGGCCTCATCTCCTTCCTCTGGAACCTCTGTCTGCTTTTCACACACGCGTTCCACACTTCCCCTCTGCTGAGACAAGGCGTCCTCCTGGGAGTTTGAGTTGTCTGGAGGTCCGGTGTCTCTGGAGTCTCCCTGGTGGCCCCCATCGACCGGGCCTTCTGCTGGCTCTTCTGCGCCATCCTCACCGGTCAAACCAGTGTTGTTGCTTTCGTCCGGCATGACTTCAACGCCCTCCTCCACTTCTTCCTGACTCAGGTTTCCCAGGAGACTTGTTCCCACGGCCGCCTCCACCTCCATGTCGTCGAAATCAAAAGATAGGCCTTCATCCTCTTCATCGGCATCCCGCGGGGTGGGATGAGATGGATCTTTATCCTCGGGCTCGTCTTTGACGGGTTCATGTGGTTGCGGCGTCTCGTTTGAGCTCATTTGGTTTCCACGTTCTGGATCAGCTCGGCGGTCTTGCTCCGGTGACGAACACATCTCCGTAGCTCCTTTGGGAGAGTCTGGCATTTGCGACGCGTCTATAGTATTGCTCTTTTCTGTCTCAGAGGACTCGTCCTGGCTTTGTACGTGACCCAGTTGTTCAGCCTGTGCTGCTCCCACAGTCTCTAACAGACTCACAGAGTCCAATGCATCAGGGTTGATTGTTAATGATGCACAACTGTCCCCACTTTCAGTAGGCGACTGGTCTGGCTCCACTAGATCTTCGTCGTCCCCCAAGCCTCGGTCCAGCTCCTGCTCTTTGGTCGCGTCTGCTATTAGCTCTGAATCTCCCCCATGAGGACGTTGAGCAGGAGAGGATTCCTGCTCAGTCTCTGCGTCGTCGTTGAGCGTCTCGGTGGTCTCCTCCGGACCGCCCCCAGAAACCTCGACGGAAGCGGCAGCGCCGGGCGAGTTCTGTGCTGCAGGCGGCGTTGAGCCAGACGAGCTGTCGGCGGAGACATCGGGGGAGGACTGGGACACAGATTCAGATGGATCAGCAGCAATGTCCCCATTGCTTAGGAAATGCGATTCTTTGTGGTCCTTACTGCTGGTTTCATAGGTGTTCTCGGGGTTATTAGTTGCACATTCAGATTGCATCTCATCGACAGACCCAACTTGATCCTCTACACTACGAACAACACGGGACTCATTGTGGGGGACAGTGGATGAGCCATCAGAAGGGCTGAGGTTGGTCTCTGGAACAGGACTCGTTACACCTCCCACCTCCTCTACTTTGTCAGGTTCCACGTCTCGCTCATCCTTTCTGCAGTTGTTGAGAGTTTCACGGGGAGGAAAGTGTTCAGCGGGAGCCACGGCCTCTTCTTCTTTTACAGTTTCCGTTTCCAGATTTAGTCCCCTGCTGTGTTTGTCTGTAAAAGGATCCATTGTTTCTTCTTCGGGGGATGCCGTAGGTTCTGTTTCCACCTTGTGTTGGTGGTCTTGCTCATCTGGGACAGGTTCCACTGCTGCTTCATTGGTGAAACCGGTTTCCCCGGGTTCTTGATCCACCCGTGACTCACTGAGGGTTTCACTGGCAGAGCCGTGGAGTCCAGGTTCTGCCGGTGTCCCGTTATTTCTTGCAGCTGATTCGCTGTGCATTTCTCGTTTGCCCTTTTCTGGATCAGATCTTTCTTTCTGTTGGTTCTTATCCTCGTGCGTTCCTTTCTTTTTGCCTCGTCTCTTCCTTTTCTTCTTCTTCCCTGAAGCAGCGGTGTCCTGAGGCTGACATTTACCCGGCATCTCCTCCGCCTCGTCGTTCTCTGCCTCGTCTGCCTCCTCGGGCTCATGCTGGTGTTCAGTGTTTGACACGGTCGGGTTGCGCTCATCAGGTAAACATTCGGTCAAAAGATCTTGGGCAACTTTTTGCTGAGGACATGATTCTGTACTTTGCAGGTTACTCTCTCCGTCTTCCCGTTTGTGGTCTTGTTCCTCTCTATGGTCATCATGATGCGAGTTAACACTTTGGACTTTGGGTTCTGTCTCCCCTACATCTCCCCCTTTGGGGACTTCGGTTATTGGAACATTTCCCACAGAACTGTTTACAATCTCATGAAGCTCAGGGCTGCAAACGATTATATCTTTGGCTTCTATAATTGATCCGTCAATAACGTCAACATTTAAGTCCTTGATGAGGACACCGTTGTCAACATTGTGTTCTTCTGTATCAGTCTTGTCCTCCTGTAAGCACGTTGCTTGTTCTTCTCCAGATGTCTCCAGTGTGGACCCAGCAGCAGCACAGAGAGCATCACCGCTCGCGTGATGCCGTTTCCCTTCCTCAAACAGCCGATGCTGCTCTGGAGCCGCTTCTTCCTCTCTGCAACTCCTCAACGGAGTCTCCTCCGTGTCGCCTGAGAGATCATGAAGAGTACTCAGTGATGGAGGGACAAAAGGAGAGGACTCAAGAAATGACGCTCAAAACTGTAATCTTCACGAGGAAGTGCATCAGCAGAAGTCAAGGTAAAGCAGAACACCTGATTGGTGCAGTTGAAGAGAAGAAGAAGAGAATCACGGAGCCATGATGACCAAGAGAGGCACGAGAAGAAGAAGAAGAAAGGCAGGAAGAACACCACAAGTACGTTCTTGATTCCCAGCACATCAATCAACAAGAGAAGAATCCGGCAGCTTTGAAGATGTATACGTTATAGTAGGATTATATGTACATATAACTTGTTCCTTACAAATAGTACTTGCATCTAAATCATTATCAAATGCTTTGTAACATAAAACCTGTTGGTGTGAAGTATGTGTTTGCTTAAATGTTGAAAAGGTGCAAGAGAAACAAATCAAAAGCCAAAACATTGGTAATGAAAACAAGGGTGAAAAGGGTGAGGAGGCCCCAGGGGCCCAGAAGCATGCCGAGCTTGTAAGTCTGAACAGGAAATGAAGAGGTTGGATAGATGCTCCCTGAAAGGATAAGGCTGACGTTTCTCTACTACTGTGTGGCTCTCGCCTGGTCGGTAGCACGAGGTCTTTGGCTCCTACGGAGGGAAATCCTAAACTGCTCACGACTGCCTAATGTATTTTTTATAAAGGGATCAGTATTTTGTCAGTGTTCTCGTTAAGCATTGAGAGCTCCACAATAACTACAAAGTTGACCTTGTCGGGGCGGTTTTCTGTTCCATGTAAGTGCCCAACCTCAAGAATAAACGTTCATTCTCCAGACAAATGCAGAACATCACCAGACTTATCCTTTCAGAAAACTGAAAATCACAGTTAAAGAGACTCGACATCCACGAGCACAGTAGTAGTAGAACTGAAGAGTTCATTCCAAATGATAACTCAACTTGTCAGAGAATATCTCCTGGCTTTATATGTTGATTGCATAATATTTCTGTTCCATCACCACTTTAAAGCATTTTGGACTGAAGGCCGTGAGACAGTTTAAGGTTTACCGAGCATGCTGTTCCCCTCCGTCGGGGCGCCCTGAGCGTCTGCAGCCGGTTGAGTGACATGGTCTGCACCGGGGGTCTCGACCACTTCTGCCTCCCCAAGCTCTCCGTTGATGTTGAGATCAGGACCCAGTACGATTCCATGTTTCTAGAAAGAGCGGGAAGGCAAACACACACCTTCACAGTGAGCCACAATGGAAACGCTGCACGTAAATAAAGTAGACCAAATATATTTGAACCATCTATCTTCAATAACGCAGGATATGGTTTTCACTTTAAAGCTTTAGTTACCGTGACAACAATATTCAAAACTTTACCACTTCCCCACAGTACACACACATCGCAGCCTGACTGAGTACCTTCAGAATGTCTTTCAGCTTCACCGTCTCTTCCCTGAGCTCATCTCGCTCAATGCGAATAGCGTCCGTATATTCTTTCTGTCGCTCTAAGGCCTGAGCGGAGCAGCGTGGTGCCAGAGAGACAGGAGAGGAAAGTGGGCCAGAAGAGGGGAGGAAGGGGAAGGAAAAAGCTGGCATTCAGTTTTGTGCAAAGGAAATTCAGATTGCATGAGGTTAAAAGTGAATGCTGAAGAAGATGCACCAAAAGCACAAAACTGCGTGACCAGGGCTCAGAGGCCGTACCCCAATCTTCTTATCCTTCCACTCCACCGTCTCCTGCAGGTCAGAGATTTCTCTAACGAAACCTTCCTGCTTGATACGCAGCTGACGGATGTCCTAAACAGCAGCAGAAGGGAAGCAAGGTTGAGATGCAGAGAGAGTAGGAAGGAGACAAGCAGTGCATGCATGTACAGTGTTGAAAGAAAGCGGAGCATTGGAGCCTTTCTAGGTGACTGACGGGTCAAAAGAAGGCCTTTTACTTTCTTCCCCTCGGCCTTCTGAACCAATGGGAGGCTCCATTTCTGTACCTTCACAAGGGGGGACGAATACTTACATTCAGCAGCTCCTCACTTTGTTTTAGCGTCTCTTTCATTTCAGTGAACTGGAACTGAAGCACAGTGTGGCTGTGTTTCTCTCGCTCGTATTCCTGTGAGGAACAACAGACAGATCGACAATTATTTGTTTTCATTAGAAACACCCAACTCATACACACCCCAATCCCAAACATCACAGCAATGCTACCGAGGCCGCTGTGGGAGTCACAGTCCTCATTGAAACATTATTCAACACTAACCATATAATGGATCCTCCTGCATACAAATATAACGCGTTTTTTACGGTTTTTGTTGTAGTAACACAGACTAAAGAAGCAGAAAGACTAAATTGACAACCCCTCAATGGTGCTGCATTGCTACTGGTGGCATTTTGGGCTGAAAACAGGTCTTTGGTCTACATTGAAGATCACGGACTAAAACCAAAGATAGAAAAAAACAACAACTAAAGGTTGACCAGGCAGCACAGTAACACTCCTCCTTACAGCTCATCATTCATCCGCTCAGGTTGGAAACGTGTTACAGAGCAGGATTAGGAGTTATCGAGAAAGCAGCTGTACCTTGACTTTGTCCTCGTACCCTCGGCGGGACTCAGACAGCAGCTCCTCCAGCTCCATGAGAGAGTCCTTCAGCGTGTCCACCTGGTACATCAGGTTGTTCTTCTCGTTATCCAGCTGGGCATTGGACACCATGGCCTTACGGTACTTCTCCTCCACTTCTCCTAAAGCATCCTGATGTCACGGCACAAACACGAAAGATGAACATTAGTTTGGTGTAACAGGTCGGTGCAGCTCGCAGACAATTCCAGACAACGCAATCGTCTACCTGCACAACTGTGTACCATGTTAAGCGTAGGCTAATACACACACACACACACACACACACACACACAGGACAAAATGAAGTAAGACATGCAATGTGCAGACTAGTCTTCAACAGTTTGCAGAGTTAGAAAACATGAGCCCAGAAAAATTGAAAGAGCCCGACGGCAGCCCAGCATTTGAGCCTCACAAAAGGACTAAAGTCAAATCTTCCATCAAGGCGTCTGATCCCCGAGTCGGTTTGTAGCGGTTCTGCTCCTCTGCTCGGTGTACGTGTGAGTCTCCCTCGCTCCTCTTTTTAGACACACCCAACATTTATTATGCTTATGGAAGACTATCAGTCTCCAGGCGTTTCGCTGAGAGTGAATTAATAACAATCGATCGGAGCTCCCTGACTGCGGTTGTACTTGTACCTCTTCTGGAGCAGCATTCCTAATTCTAAAATGGTTAATGGAGAGCATCAGCGCTCTGTTGGTTTATTGGCTGTATAACTGAATTTGTCTTAACAATTCACTGCATATCTGACCCACTGTGGCAGTAGAAAGGGTTGAACCATCAGAGGAAGTTAGGGACAGCAAACCTATTAGTAAACAGTGACTCAGTCTTTCAAGCTTATATACCTTAACTTCTTTTAGGTTTTGTGTGTACTTGGATTCCACATCTTGAATTTGATCCTTCAGTTCGTGAATCTCCTGGTGAAGAGTCAGCAGCAGTGAGCAGAGAAGCAAACAGTGGAGGTGATGATTCACCGATTAGACCGATGAGAAAAGCAACACAGCGTTTGTAGAAGGAACGAAAATGAGCACGACCGCATTTCAGTCCTCCTGCTACACCGACACCTCTCCTCTTGTGAGCCTTTAGAGGACTAAAGGGACATCCAGTGACCCTCATGTGTCGTGGAAAATGAAGCTGGGTGGAGAAGTGACTTTGCCTCTTCTACTGTTCTTAGGATTCTTTTAATGTGCAAGTAATTGTGGGTCTATTGGTCAATTTGATGAAGGGCCAGTGTGTAGCACTAGTCAGGATCTATTATCATGAATGGAGTATTTTATGATCACACTGAAAGTAGGAATGGCTGTTTTAGGTATAATGAGCCCTTCATAGCTACGTAGGGGTTGGGGCCTGTTTCTATGGTAGCCCAGATGTGACAAACCAAACTCTTTACCTCTCTGCACGTTAAATACCGCCACAACGTTCACATCTTTTAACCATTACCTTGATTTCCCGTATAGAGGTCTCTGCATCTATGGCAATGGCCGTCTCGCCACTTCCTCTCCGCGACGAAGTCCCGCCCACCGAGGTGAGGGTCGCTGCTGTCAAGGCAGAAGCTGCTCGCGACCCCTGAGGAAGAAGACATTCATTACACAAATGGCTTTTAGCATTCTGTTAAATCATCAGGACAATTGAAAAGTTTTTTGCTTAATGTTTTTTTTTTTAAATGAAAAAGTGTAGCTACACAAACAATGATATCAACGGCCAAAACTATTTTTCACAGGTAAAAAAATGTCCCCGCATTTTATAGAAATGATGAAGGAATAAATATTTGTAAAATATAGATGAAGGAGAGAAACCAGTATAGATCAGAAGCTATATGATGTCCCTTTACACACAGTTATAACAACGACAAAGCAGGCATTTAGGAGCAGGGACAAAGACTTGTACACAGTCAAAATACAGGTTTAGCAAGGTGGTGAAAGATGCTAAACGTCTGCACTCTGAGAAACTTCAACAACAGTTCTACTGCAGATTTCACAGTCAATGATTCCATCCCCACAGCTCCACCAAAGCCCAGGATCGCAGGACGTCGCCCTGACCTCTGTAGTCATGAAGTCTTTTGAACGAAGAAGTCCTGTCCCACCCGAAGACCCTCACTGACTCCCCACCCCCCTTGGACTCCCTGCAGTTTCCCTACAGAACCAACAGGTCTGTAGGCGATGCTGTCAACATGGCCCTCCACTTCATGCTGCTCTGCTTTCAACACCATCATCCCGTCTCTGCTGCAGGACAAACTCTCCCAGCTGCACGTTCCCGACTGCACAAGTCATCACTGACTTCCTGTCCGATAGGAAGCAGCACGTGAAGCTGGGGAAACATGTCTCAGCCTCTCGGACAATCAGCACCGGTTCCCCCCAAGGCTGCGTTCTTTCCCCTCTGCTCTTCTCCCTATACACCAACAGCTGCACCTCCAGTCACCAGTCTGTCAAGCTCCTGAAGTTTGCGGATGACACCACCCTCATCGGACTGATCTCTGGTGGGGACGAGTCCGCCTACAGGTGGGAGTCTGACCATCTGGTGTCGTGGTGCAGCCAAAACTACCTGACAAGACAGTGGAGTTGGTTGTGGATTTCAGGAAGTACAGAGCCCCAACTTCCCCCATCACCCTGTGCGACTCCCCCGTCACCGATGTGGATTCCTTCCTGGGCTCCATCATCACCCAGGACCTCAAGTGTGAGCTGAACAGCTCCATCACCAAGAAGGCTCAGCAGAGGTTGTTCTTCCTGAGGCAGCTGAAGAAATTTAACCTGCCAAAGACGATGATGGTCCACTTCTACACGGCCATCAGAGTCCATCCTCTGCTCCTCCATCACCTTCTGGTACGCTGCAGCCACAGCCAAGGACCAGGGCAGGCTGCAGCGTGTCATCCGCTCTGCAGAGAGGGTGATCGGCTGCAATCTGCCGTCCCTGCAGGACTTTCTAGGACCCTGAAGCGAGCTAAAAAGATGGTAGCAGACCCCTCTCACCCCGGACAAAACCTGTTTGTGCCCCTTCCATCTGGCAGGAGGCTGAGGTCCATCAGGACTAAGACCTCCCGCCACACCAACAGTTTCTTCCTGTCGGCAGTCGGGCTCATCAACAGAGCCGGGATCCCCACTGACTGACTGACATCCCACCGGTCACTCTCTTCACACTCCACATACACTCACAACACAGTTGTGTAGAGTATGGTATTCTGTTCGCTAGTGCACTTTATTTTTAACTTTTATTTTGAATTTATATTCCTTCTTATACTTTCTTTTTAAATAGTTTATTCTATATCCCCTAGCCCTATATTTCATACTATATTTCATGTTGTCTTATCGGTCTTGTCATTGTGTTACTGTCTGATGCACCAACTGACAAGTCAAATTCCTTGTATGTCACTTTTTGCCAATAAATGTTCCTGATTCACAGCATGTGATCCACTCACCTTCTCAAGATAATCTCTGTCCTCCACCTGTTGAGACAAAGAAAAACAGTTAGAGCAAACCGAGGAGACCAGGTGAGGGAGGAAGGATCCCACAATCCTCACAACAGGCACAAAGAATTAACAACGTCATGCAAATAATCTGTGTGCGAAGCATCAAATATCCCTAAAATAAAAGCACACCATCAAACAGATCATGTCACATCTGCAGCTTGTGCCCAAACACACAAAAACACTCGTAGTCCCCACAGTGGACCCAGGAGTTGACCTCTGACACAAACACAGGGTACGATCCGCCCTCCCTGCAGGGTGAAGTGCACAGAAAGGAAAGCAAACAAACAGCAAGTGACCTCCTGCGGCAGCAAAGCCACTCACATGAGGAAAGTCAGGAATAGTAACATCGTCCAGGTCCTGGGGGAGGCCACCGCTACCGGCAGAGCTCCTCAGAAAACTGGCAACGGAGGCGCTGTGTTCCTGCACCGACCACCAGGGGGCGAAGCAGAGCAACAAAAAACATCTAAGCTCGTTTCTCACGTTCTTCTTTCCTATTATAGATCATTGCATCCTATCCCTTGAAAAAAAATGAATGAATTCACTCGTCTCAGTCAGGGTGACATGAAAAGAAAATGAAAAAAAAGGGTTACACACAGGATACCATGTTTTATACACATCCAACTCTGCAAACCATGCCAAGAAACCATCATGTAATAATGTCTAACAGAGTCCTTTTGACACACAAACTAAATGTTGTACAGTGGGTTCACACACACACAAAGCCGTATCTCCCTCTAAACCCCGGGGTTGCAAGTAGGGTGTCTGGGTGGGTGGAGCTCACCACTGGGCTTGCGCGGGCCGAACCAGCCCTGGACGAGGCTCTGGAGCCGGGGCTGCGATAACTAGAGTACTCTAAAGTCTGCAGAGAAAACATACCGTCACGGTTCTGGCTGCAGCTGGAGGCAAAACGCAAACAAGCATGCGCATGCAACGGTTTCAAATTCATCCTCCCATTTGATCTACTTGGTGCAATGTCTTTGGGTTTAAAGTGCTTCCGGAATAAAATGCATCACTACCATCCTCATCCTCACCCCAACAGCAGCAAACACAGGCTGGAGAGGACCGATGCCCGGATCACAACCCGTTGAAATGTGCATATAAACAGCGCACACAATGACAGATTTAAATCCAATTACATTAAAGTCAGCAACATGAAAAAAAAACACTCAAACGACAACTTAAGGCAAACTCTGCACAGGACTTGTGTGCTTATTTCACACTGGTTCCACTCACTGACTTTAAATGCATCAAACCAACAACTCCAGGGGAGTCTTACACGAGAGCTGGAGCCAGAGACTCGCGTTGACCCGCCGCCGAGGCCGTCTTCATACAAGGAGCTCTGCACAGGTCACACAAACAGTGCATCAGTACGCGAACAACGACGCACACACACACACCTTTTCTCCTCATCGGTCTGTGGCTCCATTTACAACCAAAGTCTACTGCGACGTGAATGCTGGCTGAAGTTAAAAAAGGTAGATCTACAAGTGGTGCAGCTTGACAACGCGTGGAAGTTAGAGTGGGTAGAAGCGGAGGTGGAAATGAATGGAACCAACCCTGCGATGGAGCTGACTGAGTGACCTGCAGGACTGAGAGCAGAGGAGGGAGTCTGGAGTAAGGAGCTGCTTTAGCTTGTGAAACTTGAAGGAGTATTTAACGCTGTGTAAGCATATATTCTCATGTCCCTATCCACAGAGAGGTCAAAGGTCAGCTGGCAACTACAGTACGTTTCTGGTCTTTCGGCCGTGTACAGACCTGGTAGCCATTTCTGGAAGAGGACAGACCATTGAAGTTGTACAAGTCTGAGGAAGCATAAGAGGCCTGAAATGAGGAAAGAGGAAACACGAGTAAGGAGCAAAGAGAAGGACGCCCAACTTGACATTCATCTCTGGAGGTCATAAGTGCAGCTCGTTTTGTATACAGAAAGAAATCCGCATGCTCGCCAAAAGGCTTAAGATATGAACGGATTGTTTAAAAGAAATGTTACAGGACTGGTGATCACAAACACACAGAAATAAATGACATAGATGCACCTCCATGTCTCCTTGGGGGAAACACAGGAGAGCGTGTAGGACCTGTTAAGAACGCACCACAAGCCTCTATGAACATTATATTTTAACACCACCACTGCTGGAAAGCTACGGAAGCCCTAATGGGACATGACTCAAACAAGCTTTTTTATCTCTTATGATGTAGTTGACTTCACAACGTCAGTCTACAAACTGAAAATGAAGCATGATTGCTCTTAATTAGCAGATATGTATTTCACGGTACGGTAAGTATGTAAAATGTCATGATTTAGTGTTTGGATTCATTCAAGTAACCCAATAAATCAAAAGGTAGAGTCATTTACCACACGTTGTGATATTTTAGGGTCACTACTACTGAATATAATCCAGTACACCTGATGAATTTGTACCATTGTTAACAGCTTATCTTGACGTAGCCGCATATGTATCCTTCCAGTAACCTCAACAAGGTCATCACTGTCCAAATTAAATGTTAAATACATTTAAGGTCAAGTGATTTGACCCAAACATTGCAAGTAATACGAGGGAGATGTTAGGACATTCTCTGCGATGCCACCCACCGGCCGCAGGTCTAGTCTGGAGGCACGAGACACCCGGGTGTCATCACTCAGTCTGGAGCTCTGAGAGGGGAGGGGGGGGGGGGGCACAGGTGATAATATCAAACACCACCCTGACAGCACATCTCATAGTGTCAACGCTTCGCAGGCTGGTAGTTGTTTATACGGACGATTATAAGCCATTTGTTCGGCAGCTCTCCTTCCACATGCAACAACCAACGGCATCAAAGTAGCCAGGTATCCCCAAGGGTCAGCTACTGGACGGGGGCAACACGCACCGTGAGGTCGAGCCTGGAGGAGCGAGACGCTCTGCTTTCATCACTGAGTCTTGAGCTCTGAGAGCACGACAGAGAGGAGGCTGATGAGTGACAGGGGGTCTAGAAACGCACTGCAACAGGCTGCATGCAACACACGGCTACTGACCCTGCTGGAGAGGACGCTGCAGTCGTCATCACAGACGCTCCTCTGAGAACAAAGAACAGCGATCACAAACACGCCTCGCTTCGGGACACTTTGTGCATCACAGGAGGAAGTTTTACATACATCTTTGTGCTTATGCTTCTTCTTTTTCTTTGACTTCTTAATTGAGTCCTTAGAGAGAAAGAACATTGGTGGTACATTCACAGTAACCACATTTTCACAAGTTAGCGTCATCGGGAACACGTCACACGGCGAATGCAAAGGGGCACTTTGGAGCCGTCATCTCTGCCCTCTTCAAGGCCACAGGCCTCCTTCAGAGCTTGCAGATCAACTGGGTGGTTTGTTTATGTTATTTTGGGACTTAAGTTGGACAATAACACTAACTAAGCGATGATTGGAGCGGTAGATCAGAAGCTCCTGTGTTCTGCCACATTCAGACATCGTTTTGGTCTTGTGGGTTTGAGGAGAGGTGTATAGAATACGGGTGGTTGGGATGACGTTGGTTCCACAGTGGAAAAAGGCCGTCTACTGGAAAGAGAAGTGGTGAAAGTAAAAAAACGTAATGTTTTGCAGCTGTCTTGTTGGGCTCCTGTGCACAGCAGTACACGTTTGTGCTCCTGTGCTAGAACTCCTTCAGGTTCTGCAGACTCCCTCCACGGTCAGCAATACACAGACTGTGGAGGCGTCCCAAATACTGCCCCACTCCACCATCAAGCGAGAACACCAAACAAACCGATTCAGCGATTAAACGCTCTGAGCCAAACATCCTGGATGTCCTGTACTCATGAGAATGATTAATATGAAACATGTTTCCACATTACACAGCACAAAAGAAAGGCAGTGAACCTAAAATAGAGCGTGCTGTGTTTTGGTTGGATCATGGCGGCTCTTTGGCACACAGCGTTCATCTCGCCAAAACCAAAATGTAACTTGATAGTCAAGGCTCCCGTGTGCACATCAGCGAACATAATCCCATGATGGGATTACCAACGCGGGGAGTTAGTCAACAATCACGCTCCATTCCAGCATATTCCTCATCGCATTAGCTCACTAAATTGGAACTATTACTATAGAATCCATAAAGAACTTTGACAGGCAATGGAGAGACTATAAAAGTCAAGCCCATTTGATTCCCTTCTAGAGCACACATGCATGCTTCGTGCTACAAAGAGAAACAAGGACAGGCAGATTTACTCCATGCGTTCTCAAATACTCTTACCCCTCCACCATGAGCCCCAACCGCATCGAGATCAGACTGTGCAAGAGAATCATCATCATCATCCCCATGTGTCCCCCAAACTGACAGCACTGGGTTAAGCGATCAAGACCGCCACAAGGTCCGTCTCTGATATTGATAAAGCAGAATTGAGGGAATGTGCCGTTTGAGTGATACTGACCCTGACGCTGCCCCGGCTTCCCACCGACATCCGCTCATCGTCGTCTGAGAGCTGTGAGGGACAGATTGAAACGGATGGTTAGGGGTTTATGAACTGCTCAGCCTGTGTGTGCGTGACGGGACGTAGAAAATAAACAGTAGTTGGTTTCTCTTTTCTAAATGGTCATTATGAATCCATCAACCTGAACACTACAGTACAAACATTCATTCAACTTTTTCCCGGTGTGGGAGGAGCAGGCTACAGAGGAGACGCAGGCAGAGGGAGGGCTACAAACCGTTTGTATGCGTGAAGAACGTGAGTACCTCTCACTGTCCTCCTGGATGACGGAGGGGAGGGGAGGAGGTGCAGAGGAGGAGAGAGAGATCAATGAGACAGATGGATGAGGGCGGTAGAGGCCTGAATGACCTTTAAGGTCAGCAACGTGACACGTTTCCATTCCGCCAAGTAGATTTAAAAAGTTTAAGTCATTTCAACAATTTCCGTTTTTGTTTGGTATTAGGATCGGGATATGTCATGACATGAGTTTTCATCATTTTTGGGAAACTCATTCAACAGATGTGACGTTTGGCCAAATGAAGACATGGGAGACAAAATTGGACACCAGGTTGCAGGACGGACTTTTGACTTCATTTAAACACATTTGTACAATTCCTGCAATAAACAAATCCAGATCACTTTCATCCAGACATGCATGTTCTTAAAACACACCACTCAGAGACAGTAATCTAGCAGACACCCAGAAACAGATTGACGAGCATGAAGGGAATCACTTAAAAAACACTGCAGTTAGTCCAATGAAAAGCCACACACATATGAGTAGGAGTGCATACGAGTACCCCGTATCCGGCCGGTGCAGGACAAGTCCAACAAAGTGACCAAAGTGGGGAATTCAACACAGTAAATCCCATGCAGAGCCACACCAAAGGGGCAGATGGTCCGGCTGATTCAAAGCCATCGGCCACCCCGCTCCTGACAATAAGTGGATTATCGTTAATGGCCAAGCTTTGATTCTTTATAATCTGTTATTTTCTAAAAAGGCTCAACAGGAATTATGTGAAATTCAAAAGCAGACTGCACGGTGCCACAGAAACACATGCACAGGCTTTAGGGTTTCTAGCGCCGTCATCAGAGCACAGACACTGTACCATCCACTGTTCAATATCTCCCCATTTGCTGTCTGTGCGGTCGTCTAATTTGGTGTCCAAGCCATAATATTTCTAAGAAGGGACGGGAGGTGAAAAAGAGAAAACAGGACACAGAACACAGGTAAACACACTTCTATTATTTTCTTGGGCAAAATTCAAAGCCGGGAATAATGTCATGACCATGCAGAAATCCAATGATGTCTGAGGTGGAAACCAGCAAGAGGATGCCTACCTTCTGCACCTGAAAGATCTACGCCGATGAGGAGGAAGGTGGGAGGGGATTGACAGGGTGAAGGAAAAGGAGAGAAACCAGCATCAGGAATGACATGAGAAGACAGACATGTGAACCATGGGACGGATCCGAGACAAACAGGACGTACAGCTCACCACAGCCAACGGTAACTGACCCAAGAACAGTGGAAGACCGGCGAGGCTCCCTTACAGGGTTCTTCCCATGGTTCCTTTAGGTCGACGTCAGTTAGCCCAAAATATGTTCCCACGACTACAGATCAATGCGTCTCATACACCCTGGAAGACCTGAAGATCCGAGACCAGCCGCGGGATTAACACGCAACAACAATCAACACGGACACCTTTTCCACTAGATTTCTGTTTGAAGGTGTCACGTGACCAAAGTACCCAACGGCTGCGCGGTGTGAGTTTTTGACAATCAATGGAATAGAGTTACGTCTCACTGGATTAAACCATAAGTGAAGCGCGGTCTCGACAAAAGGAGATAGAGTAGGACACCCTCCATCCTTTGAGTCCTTGGATTGGACTCCTCTCTACTCTAATTGCCCAACTATGATGAAGTTCTAATGGTGGGAGATTTCAATAAACACGTCTCCTGTCCTGATAATCCTTCAGCCAGTTCTTGAACATTGATGAGTAGTTATACAAGCAGAGCTTCTCACAATCAGAGCCAAACCCTTTATCTTTTCAGGAGGTGTTATTGGACGATCAGATGGAAATGGATCAGGTTGATGGGTCATGCGTCCGAACACACCACCTGCATAATTTCCCTCACTTGTGTATACTCTGGTTTCAGATACGTCAGAGGAACTAAGGCAGGAATCCCAGTTTATCACCGGGTGCCCAGATTCAATTCATAGAACGGCTTCAGGTTAAATACATTACATGAAATCACAGTTTGTGTCATAAAATATGCAACAGCTCCTTTTTTCAATGTGAAATGGATATTTTCTTTTTTAGCTCTGCTGCATCTCCTGAGTTCATCCTTCCATCCACCTTACCAGCACAGCCTCTCGGCTCTCGGCTGACCTCGGCATGCATGAGCACGCCCAGCTCATTGATGGGAGTCTGAATGCACAGCTTCAGTCGAGAGGAGCGTTCACGGCCGGCGCGGCAGCAGACTCAACAACGGGCCCCCTGGTCCAGTCATGGAAACAAAGTCACCCCCCCCCTTATAAGCAGGGGACACCGAACATAGAGCTTGGGCTCATTTCTAAAGGGTCTCACGTGGGACTATGCCATATTCCGTTTCAACCCGGTCTAACATTTCCATACAGTAGGAATTTGTCACACAGCCGTAACAACGGTTACAGATCAGCAGAACATATTGTTCACCGCTCACTACCAAGCGTGCAGCAGGCTACTTGTCGTACGTGTATTGAGATTGTTATAAAGTTATACCATTACTCAATTAATAACGCGCAAGTAACGCTCTGTAACAGGGTAGAACACCGCGACACAACAGTCGGAGATAAACATGCTGTTTCCAGCTCGCCGGTATCACAACAAGAAACTCCGTCACTCCATTAAAAAACTGAAAAGAGCGATAGGTCTCACCATGAGTAGTGAGATGTTGTGATCGTGATGTGTTAGAATAAAGAAATGCACCAGGTTCCCATTAAATTCTGCGCAAAAACATCCCTTGTCTAATTTTTCTATTCATCATTTACAGAGAAAAATTAAACCACCACGGGCCTTTAGAGCAATGGGAATGCATTGCTACATGAGCTCTGAATATCTCACTCTCTGTTTCCACCTCGTGCCTGCAAAAAGATGGCAGAAAAGTAAGAGGTGGTGAATAAGAAAATAAAGGTCTATGCATAGTGCAAAGCAGATCAGCAACTGACCAGCAGGATCTTGTTTACTTATCTCCAATTACGAGTCTGGACAACCAATTAGCGTGAGCTAAGTTGGACAACCGGTTGCACATTTGCACCAGTTCCGCTCAACTCACCGAGTTCCCCTTCCTGATCGGGGGGGTTCTCGGGCGCCCGATGAGGGCGGCCCTTAGCCCCCTCCCCGCAAGCCGACGCCCGGCCGTCCTGCTGCCCTCAGGGAGCCAGCAAAGGTTGCATCCTCCAGCAGTCAGCAGGTAACACCGCGGCCGGTCATGTAGGAGGGATTACAACGGACCCACAGGTTTGAGCTCGGACCAAAGCAAACCAACAACAGCGTCCGGTTCGCTGCTACGCGGCCGATAATCCCCCGTCAAGTCCCGTCTTCGACAGGCTAGAAAAACGTCCCAAAGTCCCCGAGGTGGCTGTGAGAGCCGCGGCCCATCGCTTCCGTCAGCACCACGGCGACAACAACCGCTCCACCGGGCTGGACGGAGGAACACACACACACACACACCGCTAAGCTACTTTGGAACTCTGCTAAGGGGTTTAAGGGAGACACAAACACGCACACAGCTTAACAATGCGTATGGCCGCTGTGTTTATGTGTGCGCACACAGATTGTTACCGTTGTTGCTCCACACCGGTGTTTCTATTGCTAAATAATTGCTCGGAAATGCTGATTATCTCAGTGGGCCTTATTGGGAAAAGCGTTCACTATAAATCAGACGCATTGTTCTGGAGATAATTGATCATCTCATGGAGTGATTTGAATTCTATTTTTACAATAATGTGATGAAGTAACTATTTCTGGTATATAATTCACAAGATTTGTGCTGACTGCAGAATGTCCACAGACATTTCCGTCAAAAGGCCACGAGAGCTACATGTAAATACAGTTTGAGAGGTTTTAACTTCCCGATTGTCTCCGGACACCTGTGAGCAACGATTAACGGTTACATTTTGACTGATGAGTGCCGATTATTCGAGTGGAGGGGATTGAACGGGCTAAGAAAGGCGAGATGGGAAATACACAATGACCAGAACCAGGGAAGAGGAACCCGAGTAAGTGGTGCACAGGTCAGCGCACCACTGACCTAGAGTCTCCAACAGAACAAAGGCCTTGTTATTCCTGGAGGAAATCATCCAATCAGAGGCGGATATCGAGTGCACAGGCTACGCTAAAACAACCATGATGGCTTAATGGAGATTTTGGCCAAATTTAAAACTGTTCTACCACAAGTGTGTGTTACAGATACTGTGAGTAATTGTTCTCCTGTGGTTATTGACACACGATGGTTAAACCACATGAAGGAGTGACATTCTGCTTTTGGTCTTTCATCTCCACATCCTGCAGACATCGTCAAGAACAGATCCAATCAAATGCCTTGGAAGTTGTATTCTACAGATTTGGCTTGAGATGCAAACGGGTTTAAACCCTTCCGAGAGGAATTAGTGAGCCGCTTTGTGGACATTCAGCACATTGCTCTGGCTGACAGTGTGATACACTTTACAGTGGGAAATGACACTATAGGTAGAGCGAAAATAGCTCTCTACCTGGTAAATATTTGCTCAAGCAATGGAGCACGACAGGAATGTTGAATGCGATGTTTGTGTGGCTGAAAACAGAAGGACGGGTTCGGAATGACCATCTGCACTAGAGACAAAGGATCACCTGCATTCCAGAAAGATCACATGTTCAGATGGCCTCAAAGAATCAATCCCTCCGTCAATACGCTCATTTGGGAAATTCCCCTTTCATAGTTTGTGTTTAGTAGCTATTTTGATGAAGGTTATGCGATAAGGAGGTGGGTGTTTTATCAATCTCATCCTGAGGCAACGTGCACATTATGCGTTTCTTTCCATTTTCTTGCGTAGTTACTCAGAAAATCCCGACAGTTCTCCTCAGAGCAAAAGTTACAGCGCTGTGATTTCACCTCTGACCCCTAACCTCCCTCTCACCCCACCTGGGATTTAAGACCCCAGCTTAAGAGCATGAAGCACTGCTGGCAGGAAATGCTTTAGGTCTGAACTGGAAACAACAGACTTGTAAGAAGGCTGCAGGAATCCTTTTGATATTCTGGGGTCACGGATAATCGAACTAAGGGACAGCAGCACCTGGTGAGACAAACGTCAACGTAAAAGCGGGACATGAATACGCTGACCCGCCACCAATGCTGAGCTTTATAGAAGGGCTACGGAAAGTGAGACACTTTGCAGGTAGGGTTTAAAACGTGAGCGTGTGTGTGGACTCGTACCTCCTTCTGCTGTCGCTCCAGCTCCTTCATGCGGATCTCTCTGGCCTCGGCCCTGGCCGCCCTCTTGGCTGCCAGCCTGGCCTCGGCCTGAGCGGCAGGCAGAGGGAGAAATAGAAGGAGAGAGCATAGGAAAAAAGAAAAGACAAGTCAGTCAGCTGGAATAAAGTAGTACACATTTATAAATGCTGAACACGCATGTGAGCGGAGGCCCAGTTCCTCGACAGACTTCCTGGGAAGTTGTGTGGGTGACGGCAGGGGAAGAAAATATATTTTTCAAAAGACTCAAGACTGCAGTAACTGACAGTGGACTGGACTCCCAGTATGTGTCCTTTGACTGTATTTAGAAGTTTCTCCCACACTACTCCACTCCCCCGCTGTCTTCACTGGCTACTGTTGAATGGATCGGGTCCAGCTTACATCCAGGACATGGTCAAACCCGACATCCCGACCCGCACTCTCCGCTCTGCATGTGATAAACTGCTCGTCCCTCCTCACTGAGAGCAAAGCACTCGACTAGATCTCCACTCTTTGCTGTCCTTCTCCGAAATGGTGGAAGGAGCTCCCTGAAGACACCAGGACCACAGAGAGCCTTCACATCTTCAGACTAAAGACACACCTCTTCACACTCTACCTCCACTAAAAGACTAACACATTGTAGCACTTAAATTGTACTTGTAACACCACTCATCTATAGCAAATTGGTTTATTTGAGGAAATTGCACTTTCTTGTTCTTCGGAGTTTGTACTCCTATGATTGAATGTATTTATTGCAAGTTGCTTTGGATAAAAGCGTCAGCTAAATGACATGTAATGTGATGTGATACAGCCTGGTGGGGATCTAAAGAGCCATGCAGACATGTACTCATGACAATGTGGAAATGTCCTGTATTTCAAGGCATTCCCTCTGCTCCACTCAGCACTCGGTAACAGCAGAGCCTTCTCCTTAAAAGGACCTGTGAGAGTGCGCATGCTGTGTAAGTGTGTGCTACACAGACCGTTTCCTTCCTCTAGCTCTGTGATCCATACTAAGCGGTTGCAGTTTGTCCGTGCAAGCGTACTAGTGTATTTCCTCCGTGTCAGTCATCGTGAACCACTTAGAGGGAAACACCGAGTCCGTTTGAGATCATCCTGGCCTCCCTGGACCAAATAAATACAGAGAAACACAAAATAGAACCAAATCTGGGGATCGGAGATCCTGACATTGCCCTTCAGTTAAAGAAAAACAAAGGTCACTGAACTAACTTGGAACTGATAAAAATAAAATGGGAAAGAATAACTAATTTTTAATTTTGGTTCAACAGAAGTTAAAGAATATATATATTTTTTATAATATGAACATGTTGTCGCACAACCTTGTGAGCAATCAGCCGTTTTCTGTAACTCAATGAGACCTCTGCAGGCTCTACTGGGCGCCCACCTGGTGAGCAAACTTGTACACACATACAGCAATTAACCCCAGAACCGAGCAAGCCTCCATGTTTTACTGCAAGTCTTTTCTTTTTAAAATTATGTTTTGTGAACACCAAGCTCACTTGACAGTTGTGTCTCACCTGTCCAGAGGACATTCTTCCAGAAGCTCAGTGGCTTGTCAATATGCATTTTGGCAAATTCCAGTCTTTGTTTTTTAGGATTTGCTTTCAACAGTGGTGTCCTTGGCCGCCTTCCTCGGTCATCATCTATACTCCGTGTGGAAGTTGTTCTGGGCTCTTTGGTTACCATTCATATTATCCATCTTCAATTTTCATCTTGCAGCCACATCCAGATATCGCTTAGTAAGCAGCCACAGGAACATGTCAAAGGTAAAGGCTTTATCATTGTCTTTGTAATCTCCTGAGATAACTCCTTAGCTTTCTGTGGTCCATGTTCAGTGTGTTAAACGCCGTAATACCAAAGAGCACAATGACTACTTTTCACTTTTGACCAGCCAGAGTGACACCCGGGATTCGAATTAGAGAAATGTGTCCCTATGGTCAAAAAACGTCATTTTTTTCCAGGACATTTTCATTATTTATTTGATTAATTGATTCTGTAAAACCAAAATCCAAAATCAATGCCTGATTTTCAAGTTTAAATTGACCAACCATTTTGTCCACGTATGTATACATTAAACTCTTCCTCTCATCTATAGAAAGTAGTCTTGTCACATTTTTTTCATCCAAAGAGATTATATCACCTTCAACACTTTACTGGTTGGGAGACTGTTACAAAAACTCCACAAAAAAGATCCAATGCATTTGTTAAATTGTAATGTTTCCTTTTGGTTTAATAGGTGGAACTACAACAAAGCAAGTGTATGTGAATGGCACATTTCAACAAGGGAATTAAGCGGTCAGTCATGATGCCACGCCCCTCTCAGTCGATGACCCCGCCCCCTACGCCACGTCAAGTAGTAGCATCAGTAGAGATGCCTCTTACTCTGCAGAAAGCAGCTTGTGCCCAAGATATCCATTGGAAACAGAACGCTGTCCCCAGTAAACACGGACTTCAGCGAAATAAGATCCGTCCCAGCGATGAGGGAGGAGCTCCAGAAACACCCGCCTCCACTGACTGACCCTAAATGGCATTTGCCTTCAGGCAATGATTGCCTATTGTCCTTGGGATTCTTTACATTTGCGCCCACGCACCGCCTGTACCTGTGCTGACGTGTCCCAGCAGAAGCAGACCGGGCCGCTCTTTTGGAACACGTCAGACCTCCCATGACCCTCTTGGGGTTGACAAAGTTGCAGCGTCAGAGACGAAACATGACGTTGGTCTTCTGGCCTCGCGCAGTATTAATACGCTTATTGAAAACTTGATTCTCCAGCTCTCCAGCTTGGGGTCAACAGCCTTAACCATTTCTATGTCATTAAAAGATTAACAGGAGAAAAAGACAGGTTACCCGATATCAACAGTTTGGGCTGAAAATATCTGCCCAGAATGCTAACAGCTGTTCTAAATGCAGGCGTCACATGGGTGGGTGCTACACCGCCACATACAAAACAACACAATGCACCGAGTACTGGGACACGCAGACAATCATATCACACCAAGTTAGACTTTCCTGTCAATGACAACTTCCGTGACACTGAAAATGTCCGGATGCAGTGAGCAAGCGCGTCGGAACAAATAACTGAGTTTATTACTAATTTAGCACACTTGGTCTCTAGGCCGGTTTAAGCTGGGACATGACTTCCAATATGGCTCAGGGAATATTCAGAGCAGTACAATGTAGGTTCCTAACAGCAGTAAAGTTATATCATATATCGCTCTCAGGGTGAACCAAGGAGCATTGAGCAGCTTTCGTTTTGCATCTGATTGAATCCTCCGATACGTCCTTACACAGACCAACAAAAACATTACAACGAATATCAGACGACATGACTGCTTAAAAAAGCCCTGCATGACCTAAACATGATGTAGTTTGATGCGTTACTGGAAGGGGCCTTCAAATGAACCTGTTAGTTACTGGTTAAAGGATGTTTGACTATCAAAAGGAAGTATTTTTTACAGTGTATTACTTGAAGCAGGTTTGCTGAGGAGGAAATGGTCTCCTGTGCGTGACTGCATTCCTCACTTACAGACGCCACCCGAGCTTATTACACAACTCAAAGCACACTAAGCAGAATACTGTGCAAACATCGCTCCGTAAAATAAACTAGTGGCTGGCTGTTTGTATTCTTGCAGATATAATAACACAACACTGTGAGTGACTAGGAGTGGAGTCCTGAATGATGCGAGTGTCCATATGCTCCTTCGAGTGTGTACTGTAGGTGCATCTAGTCAAAGATGCATCTAAATAGGCCAAAAGACAGATCCCACATCAGCATTCCTCCTTGTCCGCTATTTATATCGACCTATTTGCTCTGCGTTTCTGTCAAATCTGCTCTAATTTAGCACCATTTCAACAGCAGGGGGACGGCCCTCCTGAGAGCAAATGAGCTAGTTCAGTCCCCAAACTGATCCTCTCACAAGACTGGGGCATTGCCTTTGAGATGATAAAGGCTGACAAAAGAAGATAAGTGAGACTTTAAGACTGAAGGCTAATTTAAACACCTTTGTAAAGGTGCGTTTTGTAACACACTGCATCCTCCGCCTGGCCTGGTCTGGCTGTTTTATCAAGTCAAAATGACACGTTAAACTTAAGTCTGTGATTTCACTGCACAATGGTGATAAGATAAACAATGCGGCTCACATTTAAAATAACATGCAGTGTCGTAGTTTGAAGAATTTCTAATTGTCTGCCAACAAAACCGTATCCAATCATACGACTAAGCTGGTGTTTTGGTGATTGGTTCAACACCTACATATAGTGTGTGTGTGTGTGTGTGTGTGTGTGTGTGTGTGTCCACATAGGACACACCTATTGGGCCGGCTTCTGTCAACCTGAACCCTTATGCCGGCATCCCTCCAGAACTAACTGCCAGTCTGGTGCCACTAAGCTCTTCCACTGCAGCGACCACAACGGCCGGGTTTTGGAGAGGACGTGGAGCGCTGACCGGCAGGACAGACACGGCACGCAGTAAAGACTGATTTGACCAATCAGAAGTTTCACTGAGATCAAAGGACTATAAGTGGATGCAACAAGTTATCCACTTAAACGGTTGTGATGACTAACTAGAGGGAAAAGAGGTTGTTTCCACTTTGCAAAACCGTAAAAAGCACCCAGATGTTGCTTAAAAGGGATGGCTCAGCTCCTACCATCGACACCACAGACATGAGTCAACTGAACAGCGCCTCACAAAGGGGCGGGAACGGTTAAATTGGGCCTTTGCTTCCAAAAGTACAACAACACTGAAAAGTCAAGCAGAAAAGCTGCTTGACTCATGCAAATGGAGATGTTTAACTACGTGAACACGTGTGCTCTCTTTGCAGCAGCAGACAGGAAGCAGCGAGCCGGGTGAAGAACCGACTCGGGGAGTCTCGGGAACCAGAACCAGTGGAATGTGCAAGAGGAGAAACCGCTCCACATTCT